GTTATTATAAAACGTCTTCAGTTGATATTGTTCAGATCACTCACTTGATAACATCAGAGACAACACCAGTGTCCAGTTTATAAAGTTCACTATCAAACATCTTGGTGAAATCACGAGGAATCTAGTATATGACATAATAAAATGACATCAAAATTAATTTTACTAGTGAAAGGACTTTACTATAATCATTATTGCAATRCCAGTTTGTATTTTATTACATTACTTCATGTCATATGGCATCAAAACACACCAAGGCCTACTAACATKCAATAATTTAACATCAGGCTTTCATGTTGCACTTTGATGTCACAGTACAATCACTTATGGAAACCCCTGAACTATCCTCTACCACCTTGGTCACCACTTCTATCCATATGAAACAATGCCACAGTCTCTAACACACTATATTTCATTGATCACTTTGTCATTTTATCAAGTTTGACTTCTTATCACACCTCATCTCCTTCTTGTAAACAAACACGTAGTCTTTCTGCAAGGTTTGATGTGTCTGGTATGTGGTGATAGTCAGCAACCTACAATGAATAACTCATTTAAATTATAATTAAGAACTTGTACTAATCATTGGCTAACTCTTACAAAACCTAATGGAGATAACCCAGTATTACCGGTAACACTAATTTGCTTTGAACAACCTTGCCTACTGGCCTGAAATCATATAGAGGATATTGTATTGGGTGCATGGAGATACAGATTTTATCTTWAACCTGAATTATACAGATCATGAATATGTATTTCTATGTTTATTTTAGCAGGACTTTCCCAAAATGGGGACACCTCCATTGGATTCACCCCTGGTCTACAATGAGAGATAAACTGGTATTTCATTACAGTTTGTACAAGAATAAAATAAATTTTCAATCAATCAATTACGTAGTCTCCTCGCAGACGTTTGTGGGGTGGGGGACACGGAGCCCGCCACTAAGAACGGCTGTGAGGAGACTATCAATAACGATATACCTCAGGATCTTCAGCATCTATATTGTTAAGATGTAGTTCATTCGTTGTTAGCCATTGAAATATCACATCCTAGGATCAATAAAAATGCTTTACAAATCATTTCAAATGAAAAGAACAAAGATGAGACTTTGATGATAAGGTGATAACACTGATGGTGTCAATATGGTAAATGATACTTTGATTATGATACTGATGACAACACAAATGATGACAATGATGATAACTATTCACAATTTAAATCTAAATTTATATTRCATGTACAATTCTGACAGGGTAAAGACAATAGCACCAGTCACACAAAAAATTGATAATAACTAACCTGAACTTTAGCATTTTCTTCTTTATCAATATATTGGTCACTAAACATGTGAACTGAGCCCAAGACTGCAAGCTTACCCTTGGAATACTACGGGAACAATAAGTAATATACAATTATATAATATAGTTCCTAAACTAGTTGCAATTCATTGGAATCTGCTCAATCTGAGACCAAAAAAAATACAAGTTCTCAACAATGCAAAACTCTTCTCTTTTATCATCCAGAAACAGTTTTGGCATCATATGCATTAAATAAAGATACAGTTGACTCTCTTTGAACAACAGCTCTCGTAAGCGACCATGTCCCGTTAACTACCACCTTTTACTTTCCTGTTATAATTGTTTCCCATATAAACTCTGTAAAAAACTCTCTCATAAAAGCRACCATTTCTCAAAAGCGACCACTTTTTMCGATCCTGAGGTGGCGGTTGCGAGAGAGTAGACYGTACGAGCTTTAAAGACYCACATGAGAACTTTTCAAGAAATTTTCAGATCATTTCTTTTGTTTTACAAATGATACTATACTAGATCTACTAGAGAGGTGCTTTCTGATTCATTCAATTGTCATGAATTTTCTCATGTGAGAAAAGCTTGACAAGGTTCCTGGATGCACATGGGCCATTAGTATTTAATCACTGTAAAAGACTTAATACTTACCTTTGATGAGTGAAAMGCACATACAGGTCTATTTAAAGGGAAAGACACACTCCCAGTAGACAAGACAGCAGTTGCTGGTTTTACAACATTAAGTGTTGCACCATATGGTAGGACAAATGTTAAGGATCTAAAATCAAAGTAACATTCAAATCAAAACTATACAAAAAAACTTTAAATGTCAACACTGATAAAAGTAGAAAAATTAACTTTCAGATTTTAAACATAATAGACCTAATTTGTCCAGCATAAACAATCACAGTTTGAGGATTCATCCATTGTTTAAGATTTTCTGGAACTTGTTGAATCTAGCAATATGCCTTAAGCAGCTATGTGAAGTTTCCTCGGATTTTAGCATTAATTGGTATTTTTGGTTTACTAATTTTCCACAATATGACTAGTTTCMTAGTTTTAATGATATACTGTAATCAATCTAATTAAAGTAATATGATATCCTTTTGTCACTAAATATTTGAGTGTGTAACGATGCATATTTTGTGGCTTACTTTCCAAACTCTGAGGACTCAACATCTGATGTCCCTGGAACATATTTACCAGCTGCTCTGTTAATTTCTCTAAAAAGAAAAATAATAGAATTTGATATAACAAATTAGCATGATATTTCCAATTTGCACGATATTTACAATTTGATATCATTATTTTTTAACCTTTTTTTTTTGGCAACTAAGCCATAATTAAAATCAAGGCAGAGACTTTTAAATGGATAACCAGTCAAGACTGTTCTGACCATTGTATGCCTACATACACGCATTGCTTGCCTGATCAATAGTGTTGCTCAGTACTGTGTGTTTGCTTAATTAACTATATTTACGACCTTAAATAAAAGGTAGAATAATATTGTAATGCCTAAGGAACTGACTGATCATTCATTATTGTCAAGAGAGGGCAGTGTTTTGTTCAATATAAAGCAGCAAGTTAAAAAATGTACCCCCTAAAATAAAATATTAAGTAAAAAAATGTACCCCAAACTATAGTTCTCTCCACTCTCCACAAATTATTATTAAAAAATTTATACCTCCCTATAGACAGTCTGTTCTGCAAATGTACCCCTCCCCCTTTTTGAACAACATCCCCACTCTTGGCAATATTTAAGGAACCATCCCTAATTCAATAGCATTCTTTGAATCAGTCTGTTTTGAATGGAATCTGATTGTGTTTATCACAAACCTGTTTAATACTCCATTAGACACAAGGGCTTCTTTAGGATGGAAATACTTATAGTATACTGTTCTTACCACAGAATCTGAAAATATCAAACAACAGACATTAAACTATTTCTTTTCTCTTGTTTGAAAGGGATCCTTCTTTCTGCCTGCCGAAGAATTTAGTCTGATGAGAGAAATGACAAGGGCAACTCAGCCTCAAGGATTTCAACCCAGTTTTTGTTTTTAAGTACTAAACCATTGACAAGTTAAWGCATTGCCTGCCTTAGAAACAAGCATATTGTCCMATCAAATTACAGGAAATTCATAAGCCCTACAATTCAAAGCTCAAACTGTATTATTATTGTTTCTTACCATTGTTCACCATTATTCCATAGTCTTCCAGTAAGAAATTGATATTTGTATCAAATCGTGCCTCTCCTCCTTCACCCATCATAACAAGAACATTACCACCACCTTCTATGTACTGCTTGATAGCATCAAACTAAAACAGACAGCAAATAGTCCATTGAGTTTAGACAATAATTCTTKAAAAATTGAACAATATGCCATCTTATAATTTCTGCATTCAAAATCTTACTGAAAAACCAATGACTTAAAGGAATGGCTGTGTGTAAAAATTATTTATAAATTGGATATGGGTCACTGTAAAAAATAGGTGAAAACAACTACTGACATTGGGCTTGAGCTGGGTTTGAGCCTAGTTTCATCTCTTTACTCCAATTAAGGATTAACATCTGAAACGTCAGTAAGTTGTTTTCACCTACTTTTTCAGGGTGTTCAATTTATCTTTTTACAACTGTTTCTTTAGAACTAGCTCACACTAGTTTACTGCTAGTCTCCACCACTTAAAGGAATGACCTAAAAAAACTAAACTTTCCAAGTTTGAAAAGAACTATTATAACTGAAAATTTGACAAGACATTTAAAAGCCATCACATTTTACCAATTGAGGTTCTTATCTTTGATTGTGTACATTAATTTTTGGTAATTTGTTAATGTTACACTTTTGCTGTTGTATGTTGCAACAAAAGTTACYCGGCAATTGGAAAGTGAAACATGAATCCCATCTTTCTTGTTGWACAAAGCATTGCATGAAGTAGAACTCTTGTGGGACATGTTCCTTTTTATTCTTATCACATTTATGTACTTATTAGACACACACAGAAAAATGGCCAAGTAGTATTCTGATTAGCACTAACCTCCATTGCTGTGAACTTTTTTCTTGGTCCACCAAATACAAGTACTTTGGCTGTTTGGATTTTGTCTTGTGTGAGTTCATCTTTATTACTACAACAACAACAAAATAAAATAGTTTTATGAATACATCCAGAAAAACAAACATAGAAAGAATCTAAAAAAAAGATTACAACACATAACGTTGACTATTTTTTGAACTGAAGTACCTTATTTGTACTAATTTCCATGGATAATTTCATGAAATTGGAACTTGCAAATTTTCGCTTTTTTGCCAAAGAAGTTCTTTAACTATATGGGGATTTTCACATAAACTTCTTTCGATGGGTCTTTGATTGTAAAATTCAAGACTTTCCAAAATTAGCACAAATAAGGTACTCTCAAATTGATCCACTGGAAACATATACAATATGTACTTTATACATATCTTTTTAATAATCACAAACTTACACAATAATTTTCCAATTTGACCTCAGTTTTCTTGCTAAAGACTTGAATCCATTGTTTGGATTGAACAGCTCAGCTTTTGATGTATTAAAGACTATGGTATTACTTTGTTGATTTTCGGCAGATTCCTACAAGTTCAAAATCATTTGTATTAGCTGACAAAGAAGTTTGTGTTGATACAGTTACAGGACAAGAACGTTCAAGAGCAAACAGACAAAAAACAGTTCAACGTTGGCAAATGGTTTTCTTCTTTGAACTGTAATTCACCATAAATCATTCTGATTCTGCAATTTTGCTTGACACACTTACAGGCGCTCTTTGAGCATCTACAATCGTTGACAAAATACCTGGGACCGTAGCATTCTTTTTGTACAATGTCTATAATTGTATTCATGTATCTCAGTACTTATCTCCCCATACCCCCCAGGAGCAATGTTRCGAGTGACCTTGGATGCTTTTGTCGCTTGGACAGTCCCAAAACGATCACATTGCAACCATTTCCACACAACATTGTCTTTAGTGCTTTTTATATTAAAGAGTGATGCTAAAAATACCAAAGTTTACAATTGTGATCCAAGGTTTTTGGCAACGATTGTAGTTTACTGGTAATTATTGTTTAATTATAGCATTTTTTTGACTTTCTTGCATTTCTTAATTTAAGTGTATCTCAAATCTTTTTCACAAAAAAATAAGAAAAATAAGTTAACTTAAGCTTAATTTGTCAAAATTGATCATGGCAGGAATCAAACGATAACGCATTTCAAGCCGAATACTGCGTATGATGATTCATACGAGAACAACGACAACACAACTATTGCGACAAAATGCAGTTCATAAAATATCCTTTTTTCAGAGGAAAAATCAATCTATGCTTTTTTTTACCAAAAATGGTGGGGAGCATCATAGCAACAACGTAAACATAAGTAAGCTTATCTTTAGACAACTTAACTTTTTAAAAATATCGACTCAAACTTTAGTCATTTTCGCTACGAAAAGAGAGAAACTTTGGATCAAGCTTTTAAACACTCTCCAGCTGTAAAAGAATCCACAACTCAGTCTGTTAAAGCGAATTAAATTCACCTACCATGGTCAATGTACCAGGCGCCATCTTTTTTTTTTCGTCTTTTCCTCCCTGAAATCTGACCGTGAGAGACTAGTGACTAATTCAAATTGTAGGCTCGATTTTGTGGCTAAAAACTACAGAAAGTTAAAGATTAGATCCAGAAGGAAAATATAAACAACTATTTTTAAGATGAATAAAATGAAAAGTAGAGTTTGACACAAATGAAAAATACAAAGAGAAAAAGTTGAGCTGCMTGCATGAAAGTGAGGCTACATCTCGTCATGCTCACAAATAGCAAGAAAGGTCAAGAGTTATGGCGGCCATGTTGGATTATTTCTATTTGTGGATTTTTAACCCTCAAACTCTCCATTTTGGCAYTTTTTAACTAGCAAGACACCGCAAGATTCTCAGAAACCATGTATTGTCTACAATGGTTGCTTCCTTTGTTGCTGATACCGCGTCCACTGAACCCTTTTATGTTGAATAATCATTCAATGTTTATGACTCTCTACCTGGCCAGTTTCTTTCTTGAAAGACGCCCGTGTACAATTTGCACGGTTGTTTTTATATCAGCTGTGTTTCTGATATGTTACAGTGGCTTGGGGAACTGTATTTTCTTTTCGGAATGCTCAACGTAGCGAGATTCGATAGATCACCATTTTGGAGGAGAGGATGTTCGTGATTGCGAAACGTTCAAAACAAAAGCTTTAYTCATGCATCCAAGCAAAAAACGTAGACGTACAGATTACAAAAAAATAACGCAAAGATAAACAGTGGAATGCAGTCGTTCATTCATTACCAGAAGGAGTTTATCCATGATTCTTTGTATTTTATGATGGAAATACTTTGCAAAGCATATTAACTTAACATGCTGCTGGTCACTTTGGTTTGTCAAATATTTGAACAAAGCAAGCACACACCAGGATTTAATGTTGGACAAGCATTGATACCTGAAGCACGTTGACCAGACTCCATCCTTTGAAAGTTGTKTWMRWTWAATAATTGGTCTGTCAAGTTTTGTTAGCAAAGAGACTTTATTTTGATGTAAATATGAACATAACTACAGTAAATTAATGAAGAAATGATAATCTTTGGAGTAAAAACTGAATGTCTAAAAACGAACATGTAGAAGACCTAGTCTATTGCCAACCAACACATATGGATATCTTCCTGGGATGTAGAAGCTTGAAAATAGTATTACTGTCAAGAGAGAAAAAAGAAAGGCATTCCACAGAAAGGTAGTTTTTAAACACAATACAAATTGTAAAGGCCAATTTTACACGATTTTGACAA